AGAACATTGAAATAAGGGAAACAAAAAGCCATGAAGCCATAAGCTGAATCTTTGTTTTCAGACAAGGACTTCCAGGAGAGGGGGAAGGAGGCACAAAGTGTGGCTCTTCAAAGCCATTCCTGAACACACACCAACGTGCACACACACTCCTGCCTGACTGGACCTGCCTTGGAAACCAGACTTTACTACAGCCTCTTTGCATTTTTACCTACAAAGACTAAGGGGACATTGCCAGGCTTCAGGTGCAAGCAACCATCCCCTGGCTTTGTTTCTGTGTAAAAAATGTTAGGCAGTCCTCTCATTGGCTGGGTGGATTACAAACTGCTCTACAAATGTGGAAGCTCCCAGGACTATGTTGGGGGAAAGGCAAGACAGACCCTTCTAGCTACAGAGGAGAGGTGAATAAAGACACCAGGATGGGCATGCACATATGTGGGAGCTGTGAACTTGCTTCACTGGTGTCTTCTAACAAAGTCCCACTCATCCCGAGTGTCTCCAAGTTCTGTAGAAAGCACATGAAAACATTCAAAGAGAAACCCAACAACCGATCTAAGTTAATAGTCTGACCCAGCTAACAGTTTTTCTTCTTTATGTGAAACCCCAGTTATTAGAACAACCAAGACTTTGAGAGAATTGCCCTTCCATGCCTATAGTTCCATGCCTATAGTTCTTGTTGTGGAGCAAGAACACTTTTGAGACTACAACAACAATATCAATTCCTGTTGAGAAAAATTCCCCTCCACACAACATTTTGCATCTGCCTTACAGACTCGTAGTTCCTGGTGCCATCATTGCTCACTTAAAAAGCATTTTAAGGAGAAATTTTTTTAAATATGTAAGCATTGATAGACCTTTCCTGTCCTCCTTTCTTCAATTCAGTAAAGAATGAAGCTCAGCGAGTAACCAGCCCTTATAACTTTCACATACCAAATAATATTGTCCTTAATAGTACTAATATCCAAGTGGTCTCGGTGGACATCTCTAGTCTTTGTAATAATTTTTATTTTTATTTAATGTTTGGGGATGTTGTAAAAAGTGACTACTGTTTCAAAATGTGACCTCTGTGAGGTTTAAAACTTACTGAATCAGATGAGATATGAAAGTGCTCAACATAATGTATGACTTAAAGCTATGTTTTTTAAACTTTAATGGGAAATGTCTGACTCTTAGATCACTATTTCCAAAGTCTGGCAGACAGAAACATGTCTTTTAGAAAGGCCTAATTTATATACCAAACAGAGATCCAGACAGGAGAGAGGATGCCTTCTCTCTCTGCCTCATGCAAACCTGAGACTTGCAGTTGCTTTGAACTGACTATAACTCCAGCCATGTCCTAACGATGATTGCTCATCCTGTTTTTCCCTCCTAAGATTCTTCCAGCATTGTGTTAGGCAGTGAAACACCTGACTTTGCTATCTGACACTCATTGTCTCCTGGGAGGACATATGTGTGCGTACTCCCCAGTGGCTTCTGTGGTCACTAAGATAGCAGCCATTCTCTTCTCCTTTCTGGAAGAACAATGTTTTCATCTGGGAACCTACCATTCATCTGGGACTAACCAATCATGGCAATCCCGCATACTCTTGTCCATGATTGGTTAAAACATCCTGCATTCAGCCAACCCCTGCTTAACTGACGTCACTAACCAGTCAAAAGATGGGAATTTGACCTAAGCAGAACTCATCATTCTATAAGGCACAACTCAGGAAGCCTCTCTCCCTACCAGCTATAAGCATTGTCTCAATTGCTATCGGAAATTGTGTTGCCACCATCAGGAGAGTTAACCAGAGAACAAAACCAAGATAGCCCCCCAAATTCCGGACTATGACCCCTATATTGTAGAGTGAGATTACCCTATGGGACTCTTTCGAGAGAACACAAAGGATAAGCATAATTATACTGGTGGGAATGTCTCATTGGAAGGCATGCTTGAACTGCATTTTGAAGGTTGAATAGGAGTTGGCTGAGCAAACAAAGGAAAAAAGACTGTAAAGAGAACAACTAGGCAGAGCTGGACCAGTGCTTTCATGGGTGTTTGACTAGAGTGAAGGGCGTATGGTGTGGCAGCGGGAGGGAGGAAGAGGAATCAGGTCAGACAAACAGGAGTCAGACCATGCTGTGCCTTGCCGGCATTCCATATGAACATGGCTTTTTCTGTTGCTGGTAATTGGGAGCCATCAAAGGATGTTAAGCTCTGGAGTGGCTGGGTGGATTTTGTATTTTAGACACACAATGCTACCCAGAGTGAAATAGAGAGAATAGTGCTGGAAGCAGGAAAAGCTGCATAAGAATTTCCATTTTGCTGGAATTTCCAAGCATTCTTTCCCAACAAGGGCAACCCAAGGCCTCTCTGGATAGTTCAGGGAAGTTTCTATGTAGACAATTTCAAAGCAGTTAGTATTGATCAGCATCTGGAAGAGGATCCAGGTCATGAAACAATGGCTGAGCACTGATGACCCAGAACATAGAATTGTGAATGAGCTCCATGCTTGCTGTGTGATCTTAGGTTAGCTGCTTAACTTCTCTGAGATTCTATCTCCTTTTCTATAAAGATCCTAATACCCATCTTCCTCTGCTTGGGTAAGCAAAAGAAGTTAAAGCAGATAAGATAAGCCAACCAGGGAAGAAAAGCTAGATTCAAAAACTCATTGGACAACTGGATAACTGGATGACATGACAGATTTCCCCTACTTACACTAAATATGTGATTATAGATTTCAAAACAGCAGGCTCAGTATTTTGGGAGATGTTATTCAAGGATGTTATCACTACTACCTTTGAAGAAAAGTTTAATTCTCATAGATTATTATTTTAAATAAGAGCAGACCTTCCCACGGGGCATTCAGAAGCTTCTGTTTGGTCATTAATTAAAACAGCATGCTTGAGAGCCCTGCAGATGTGTAGTCCCTCATTCTTGGGCCCAAGAGGAAGTGTGATCATAAATTGCTTGGGAATGAATTCACTTGGAATTTTCCATATGACACAAAGGGCTTAAGAGATGAGATTTTGGTCCAGGTGCAAAGGACACTGCCCAGCTGATCTGCACAACCTCAGGGCAGGGACTTCTCTGTCCTCTTTTCAGTGAACCTGACCTATGGGTCCTAAAGCTGAACATCTCTTGCATGAGTGGGAAAACAGAAGAAAGGACTGAGATGGGCTAGTGGGAAGTGGGTATCAACCTGCTGGTGCTTTTACTCCCTAAAATATAGTGATGTAAGGTGCTGTAGTTCAGGGCTTAGCCATCTGAGGCATCTGGGTTTGAGTTCTGCTTACTTACTTATTAGCTGAGTGGCCTTGGACAAATGACTCAGGCTCTCTGAGCTAAAACTTTTTTTATTTACAGAAAACAAGATACAACTACCACTATCCTATAAAGTAGGAGCTTACCTTCTTCCAGATTTTTAGATTAAATAGAACGCACATGAAAAGCAGGTACTCACTATGATGCATCTATGACACATGGTTAACAAATATGTTATTCTTTATGAACATCTATAATTTGGGATCTGTTCTTTCCATCAGCAATATTTTGGGAAACTACCTTTGCCGATCAGGTATAGCCTTGGTGCCCTCAGGTGCCCTTGGTGCCCTATATTCAAAGCTGAAGGGATCCCTGGAGACTCTGCCTCCCTGACTTTTCCTGCTCACATCTAGGACAGCCATGAGGTAAGCAGGAATCCCAAATTCAGCCCATCAGAATCACTCTCCTGAGATGTTGACTCAGGTACAGCAAATTGGTGTCAGGAAAATCATTGGGGTGGTGCCGAAAGAAGATAGCCCTCCCTCCCTTTGCTCCTGTTGGTGTCCAAAAACCTTCCTCCACAGTTAAGGACATGGTCCATTTCTGCAACTTGCAACTAAAGAATTAAGACATTATTTTTTGCCCATAAAAAAAAAAATCAGTGTTTCCTTTTGCAACCTCCTTCTTTTCATTTTACTCCAATGTACTCAAGCATCCCACCCTCATGGTACTATGTAGAATGTTCTCCAAGCACAGCCTAAATTTTCAGAGATTTTTGCCTATCTCCAGAATGCCTTTTCTACTTGGATGTCCACATCCAGTCCTCATCCTTCCATAGACACAGCTTTGCTCACTCTGTAATTGCTTTGGGGAACTCAGTGACTATCCCTGACCCAGCAGCACAAAAATATTTAAGTTTCTCCACCTTCTGGGGGAAGTGTTTACTGCACCTGCCAGTTCATCTTACATTATTTGCAGCTATCAGGACTGTGTGCTCCTTTGGGGATGATCGTGTCCAGCTTTGTGTCTCTGGTACCTGATTCAGAGCAAGAACACAATTCTAGCTGAATGAGTGAATGATAATCCTTACAAATGCATAAAACAAACAATAGCAGAAACATACAGCACCACTTACATAGCTCCATCCACATGCCAAGCACCAAATCAATATATACCCATTGAATCTTCTCAATGGATGTCATTTTCCCAGTTCCACAGATGAGAAGTTGAGGCACAGTGAGGTCACCTGCCTATAGTGACCGACAGGGCTAACAGGTGAAAGAGTTGAGTTTCCTGCCACAGGTGTTTAGGACATTTTTTGTTCTGGGGCAAGTCCCTGGGGCTTGAACTAGTGTCAGCTCATTTTATCAGGACTTGGCCTGATTTTACAATTTGGGGGTGGGAAGCACTTTTTTTTTCACCTTGGAAAAAGCGTTGAGAGGGCAGGCAGAGCGCTGGCACAACAGGGCTAACTTTGATCTAAGTGATGGTGGGGGGCTAATGTTGGAGAGGACAAAGCGGAGAAGCCTTCCCCAAGATTTGACCATTCTGAGCCAGCAAGGTACCCAGAAAAAACCCTAGTGCCTGTAGTCATCCCGTTTTAGCCTTGATTGAATTCATGATGCTGGATTCTGTGTTCAGTGAAGGATCACAGTTTGGTGTTTAAGTTTTGAAGAGTCCTGCAGGTGAGACATGGCTCAGCTGTTTGCTACTGTGGGGTATGTATGTATGTGTAAGAGAGAGAGAGAGAGAAAGAGAGATACTTACCTGGCAGGGGAGATACCATGATCACGGAGGTGATTTTCCCAGGGTGAATCTTATCCATTGCACTCCATTGTGTTGACCCCTGTGATTTCCCCACATGTGGGAAACTCAACTGCATAATTTGTGGTAGTGGGGGACTGCTTTTGTGCTCTCCCCAGGTTTAAAAGAGAGAGACCTTGGACAAATTCCATAACCTCTAGGTGACTCAGTCTCTTCGCCTGTAGAATGGGGCATGGTAAAAAGCCTGTGTGTTATAGAACGCCCATGGAAACTAAATGGGAAAATAACATGGAAATTGCCTTGGCACACTTGGTAGCTACCCATCACATGGTAGTCATATGCAAATATTAATGCAAAAATTTATGCCGATTATGGTAGAGTGAATAATAGCAGTTTGGGTCTTTGAGAGAGCAAAGGGAAAGAAAAGAGAAGGATAAAAAGGGAGTTACCCATGTCCCACTTTGCCAAAGCGAGCACAGCCCCTGAGAACGAAGTTGCATTGCTAGCCACCCAGTTCTCTGAGGGTCCTGTTGGCTTTGGGCACAGGCTAGGGTCTATGGTTCACATGTCCCATTGTGATGTAATGATGAGTGATGGCTCTGAAGGATCCCTCCATATAGCAAACCCAATTTGGACTACTATTTCCCCTTTCCAAATTTCCAGTTCCCCCCCAAAAAAATAAAAACTCATCGAATGACAAGTTTGATTAAAAAGGCTCATTTTATTGCTAGCACCTTTTGCCAAAGAGCCATATTGTCTCACAAATCCTGAGCCATGAGTGACAAAGCTGGCAGCAGTTTCATCCTACAGGAGAAGAAAGTGGTCATGATCTTCCCAGAGTCCATCGGAACTCAGGGGCTCTTCACCCCAAACCTGATAGATTTTCCACTTGGAGTCCTTTTGTGCTTTCAACATGGCCAATTCTGGTTTCAGATCCAGAAGGTCTGGAAGCACTTCTTGCAGAAACCAGATTTTAGGAGCTGGCATTGTATCACAGCATGCAAAGCTACCGCCTGTAACATGGACATCCCATATGGGCACCGGTTCAAGCCCCAGCTATTCCACTTCCAATACAACTCTCCACTAATGTGCCTGGGAAAGCAATGAAAAAAATGGCCCAATGTGCTTGGGACCCTGGCACCCACATGGGAGACCTAGAAAATGCTCTGGCTCATGATTTCTGCCATTGCAGCCATTTGGGGAGTAAGCCAGTGGATGAAAGAACTCCCTTTTTATGTAACTCTGACTTTCAAATAAGTAAATCTTTTTAAAACATAGACTCTATTACAAAACTTTCAATTAGCTGCAAAATAAATATTGACATTATATTTTAAGGTAAGAAATAAATATATTTTCTTGATACAGCTATGTGTTTTATGTTTTAATAACCACAGTCTGCCTGGCTCACAAATTAGATCTACTCCCTGAGAGGTCTTTGGGTTGACCTGGGGTGGTGGTGAGAGTAAGCATCACCATGCATTGGTAGCCTTATGCACACTGATCACCATGTCCATCAGCCCTGCTCAGGCAGGATTTGATCAGATGAAAATCACTCTACTGCAAGCCTTTCTCTATGCTATTAGTGCTGAGCCCTGAGGCAAGGCAGTGATACAATGAGCACTGTCAAAAAGCAAGGAGCACAGAACAGGTTGGAGAGGTAACACTTTGGATCATGTAGAGGTGTCACTTCTGTACAGCTGTAATCTCTGTGAACTCCCACTTCCGGGAGACAGAACAATTTGCAACATATCAATGAATGAAAATATTGACTTATGCATTCACTCTGTGGGCAGCTGGTAACCCAACCGCAGCAGTCACCAGCAGGAATGGGCCCCTGGCATGCTCAGGCTCCTTCCTATGGGATGCCCAAAGGGCACCTCGTGCCTGCCTCAAGGAGCAGCCCCTTCCCCATTGATGTTATTTGTAGCCGGAGTCAAGCATGACACCATCTCCCATCTGCAGCTTTTGAGCTGCGCTGAAGAGATGAGCCGGATAAAAATGCAATCCCTAACATGCGGCCCGCATAGTGGCCCTGCCTGTCTGCCTCACAAAGGTTGAGAGTCCTCTGTAGATTCTAATTAGGGAAGTGCTCCGAGGTCCCTTTCCCCGGGGGCGGGGAAACAGGAGAGACCAGGAGCTTTACAAAGCTGCATTTTGCCTCGCCTGGCTGACTGTCAAGCGTGCTACCCGCCACCCCCTGCAAATCCCAAAAACCCATCAGCTTAATACCACCCCCTCCCCAGCTCTCATAAACTTTCATCTTGTTCCCAGGATCCACCAAAGTAAATAAGATGTCCACCTAGATAATGGAAACCCCACCAGCTCTCAGTTAGTGCCTTTTCATGCCAATTAAACACGTTTCATGCAGTCATGGTGGACGCATCAGTGACTGCATCTCCAGACGCCAATGGGGCCGCAGCAGACCTCAGCCCAGCCGAGAAAACGCATTTCTCGTGAGCTTTCTCCCTGTCGTATTCTAACCACTTGGCAACGGCCTCAGTTGAAAAACATTGATTCGCAGAGATATATATGGATATATAAGCTGATGAGCCACCTTATTTGTGGCTGATTACTGATAAAGACCTCAGAGTGCTTAATTTAAATTAATACTTCCTTCATTAATGAAAATCCAACTTGGAGCATAAAAAGTCTTGACAGATGCACTTACTGCACAAACATACATTTGTCTACGCCAAGTCAATTGAACATGCAATCATATTGGGTCGGGGTTATAATTGATAATGATTCTACAATTATTACTTCGCTTAGGTGTGTGTGATTCACTGGAGTTGCTCTGAGCACCTAATGAGCTTTTCTCCCTCCTTGTGAAGAGCCACTTGGAAGGACAGAGAAATACAAGGGGGCTTCAGAAAGTTCACCAAAAAACTACATGTGGCTTTTCAAAAATTTTCATACTGAAGGAAACTTCTTTTTGAAATCTGTTTTGGGTTTTGAAGGGTGTTTGTGTTCCATTGTACAGCAGGTGACCTCAGAATGCTGGGTCACTTTTGAGAGGAGGAGTAAAAGATTCTTGCTGCCTCCCCCACCTCATTCTCCTCTGCTTTATAAAGCAAAAAGGAAGGGTGCCAGGGCAATCAACATTAGAGAAGGGACAAAAGATGCCAAAGGTTAAGACGCAGGGATTAGGCAAAATTGGGTTATTGATTAAGCAACGTGTTGATAACCTGAGGTTTGTGGCCACCAAATACCAACCCTGTGTCTCTCAGAGTTTATAGGCCAATTTCTTACAAGATGAGCGAGCTTGTCGTGCTGCCGCCAGCAAAGCCGCCAGTGGCTGACCAGCTCTGAGTGACAGCGACTCAGCGTCTGGAAGCCCCACTGGGCTGTGAAATGAACAAGGCTCCCGGTGCCCCCTGCTTGGGCCTCCAGGAGCCAGCATCTCCTGGTTCCTAAAGGGCTGACATATATCCTGCCTTTAAGACAAGACTACAATTGCAAATCCGAGAATATAAATTACACTTTCATCTTTCTTTGGTTTTCTTTCTTTTGCTTCAGTTTTCATTCCAGGATAAACTTTCCTGTCAAAGGGACATTTCTGATGTGTCAAATTCCGCCCTGTAATGAACAGGTTGACAAATGTGGAAGGTGAGCAGACATTCAGGTCTGCTGCAGCTGCCTGCAGCCGGGGAAATCGTGACTTTCACAAGGATAACGAGGCTGTGAAAGATGGCGAAAATGTCGCCATCAACCTGCCCTTCTGCTACTTAGTAATTAGATAATTAGTCAGGCCCTAATTATGGGATCAGGGTGCAGGAAAACAATTAGCTGAAAGAATTACTACATAAAACCAAAAGCGAGATTCCAGAAAACAAGATTTAATTTTATGATATTAATATTTGCAGCAATAACGGGAGACCTGTGCTGATGTCATCTTTGTGTCTGTCGATCCCTCCCCTGGGCATAGAGAAGGTGCCCTGAGTTGGCCCTGCTCTGCTAGCCGGATGCCTAGACTGCCGTGCCTCTCACTGTCTGCCAAGGCCTCCATGGCTACCCAGGCAGTAGCTGTGGTCTAGCCGGCACATGTATGTAGATCTGAGCCGCATACACCTGCACATTTGCCTAGGGATCCACATCCCTTTCCCCAATGCCCCGAAAAGCTACCGGCTATGTCTCTGGCTGCAAAGAAAAATGCGGCTGGCTCATAAATTCTTTCTTGCATATGGTCAGAGAGAATAAACAGGTAAACAAGTTTGCAAATGCCTTCTTTTGGCCTGGAATTATTAACACATTGTCTTGTTATCATGATTAAAATTAAATGATGTTCCAGGCTCTTTGACAAATGAATTTGGAATGGTTACAGTCATGGTATTACTTTAAATTATGAAACTGGGGAGAAAAAAAAGAGAGACAAAGAGAGAAAATTGAGCCTAACAGCCTGATCCTTAACTATTATTTACCTATTATCTGAGAGAATTGAATCTCGCTGTGCTGCGGCAGAGAATAATAAAAGATTTGTAGGCTTTACAAGGCCCTGTCCTCCCATCCAGCAAGCACCAATTCCCAGGGGCTCCATTGCGAGCCCTGGCTCAGCTTGTCTGATCATTTATCCATAATTAGAAAATTAATATTTTAGATGGCGCTATGATGAACCCATTATGGTGATGGGCCCCGATATCAATTATAACTTCAATTTCAATTTCACTTACAGCCGAGTAATGGGTCCTGGTGGCGGCGTGGAGATGGGCTGGAGCTTCGGAGCATGACGAATACAGATCACTGCACATTAGGATGAGCAATTATTTGAACATGTATAAAAACTATTTACAAGCAATGTAATTGACCGGGGTCAGGGGGAGATGCTGAAAAATGGACAGGTTGACAAATTCTTGTTCCATACCAACAGAAAGGATTTATTAATTTCTTTGGCTGTAATTGAATTTTTGAAAGGTTCTTGTTAAGCTCGCCCTGCTTTGCTCGTCTCCTGCACTGACCTTCCATAGATTTGCTGCTGTAGCTTCTACTTGTGCCTCCGTAGCCCTTGCCAGAGAGATGGCTGAAGGAATTTAGAAAAAAACAAGCAGCCACTTTCCAAATAGATTCAGCGGACAATAACACACCACCACTCTACTATTGTGTAACTTTCCCAGGGAAAAAAAAAAAGAGGAGGGAGGGAGAAAAAAACAGGCTCGCGATCCTG